GTTGTAATTGAACGTTTTCATCATATTCTATTTCTTCTGGTCTTTTTTTAAAAGAGTAAATAGATTTAACTTTGAATCTCTCATGTGTTTAATATACACATATGTGTGTGTGCGCGCGTGCAAAGATAGACATATTTTCTGGCCTAGGAGATTGTTTAAAAACGTGTGCATCAGGATGAATTTTAATGAAGATAAAGACCTTATCTTCTTTAAAAAATATACACTTTTGTTCGCATAAGACAAGAAGATAATACTTGTAGTTAAAAAATGCAGGTATAGTGACGAGATGATGTTGGTTTCTATCCAGCTCATGCATTCAATTTTCCTGCGGTTACTCCTGTAGAATTCAACTCAGTCCAACATTCACGATTCAAAAGCATCCCTCCATTGGTGTCTTAGATGCGCGTTATGTAGTTGGTGAGAAGTTTAAATATTTATTACGCTTTCCTCTAACATTGAAGTGGTGGAAATCATTTTATTTACTTGTAGCAACAAGGTTATCTCCTTATTAAATAGATGTTTGACCTAAAATAATACGGATTATATAAACTTACTGTCTTAACCTAGTCTTTCTGTGTAAAAGTTTTTTTTGTTAAAAGTTTGTATACTAAATCGTTAATTTGTTTTTATATTTTGTTAACGATCAGGGATGGTTATCATGATTTTTATATAGGTGACAGCGAAAGCCAGCTCCCAACTATTGATATGGTTGCATCATATGACACTCTCAGTGCTTCACCAGTAAGTCACAGTCTTATTTTTTTATGCATTCTGTGAAAACGATAGCTGTAATGATGTTGCATATTGCTTACCCAATTTACCCATTTTAATTTAACCTTAGTTGAAGAAACAATTACCCATGGGCTGCTAACCTTGGTAAAGTTAAAAAAAAGTAATCACATGTGAATATCCGGTATGCTTGTTATACGCTTTTGAGGAACTATCCTGCTGGTTTTACATTTCTTCCATCTCTAACTAGTCAACTCTCTCTTTTTATTGATTTGTTTACTTTTTTCTTTCTATAGGTGCAGCACTGCAGTGGGTTTCCAAAATATGATGGCTGTTGTATGTGTATCCATCTTAAGTGCTTCATGTTTTTTTAAAAGATCAGCTTCTGTTTTCTCTCTCTTTTTAAGGACTCTCTTAAGTTTCTAATCTCTGAAGGATGGAGTGATGATAATTAGGCTTGACTACAGTGCGGCAAACTCTAAACTTGCATCACTTGTTTAATTGCTTTTCTCAATTGCTTTTACGTATTTGGTTCTTAAGTGTAGTAAGATATTGGGACACCTCAAAAGGACTACTTCCTCTGTGCAGAGACCCCAGCTGCAGCTAGAGCTTGGGTTATTGTAGTGAGTATTAAAGTTTCTGATCAGCGAAGCTATTAACACAACAATTGTGATTGCACTTTGGACAAGCTCTTATATTTCATATGTTGATTTCTTATTTTTAACTGTGACAAAGATTAAGTTAGTTTTAAATTATTTTAATTTATTCAAAAAAATTGTGTTTAATGGAATAGGGGGTTTATCAAAGATTTCTTGATGGTATACCTAACGGTTTATAATGATCAATGCTCCATGTGATTCGTACTACTACGTAAGAGAGCTCTTTACAATGACATGTCTAGGTAATGCATTTCTCTCATGTATAAGGTTTCTAAACATTATGTTTCAACGTTTTTTGATTAAAAAACATTATCAGGATTTGAAAAAAGGACTGGAAAAGCTGAAAGAGTTTGATCCAGAAAGTGCTTCAGGTATGGACTTGAAAAAACAGATGAATCAATTGAATATAGTTGAAAATAATATGTGAGGCCATTTCTAATGTAGCATATTAAAGTGACTGTGATTTATTTTACTTGCTCCTTGGTGTAGCATATGGAACTGATTTATTACCCAGCTAGAGCTGTTTCACTAGAAACAAATATCTGGATATTCCCAGGTCCACACAATAGAACATATTTGTCTTGTGAATAACTAACTGTCTTTAGAATACTACATTTTGAGGAAGCTGATTGCATTCGGGCTTTCAGTGTTGAGTAGTTTTTATGTATGATTAATTGAGTGTATGAGTAGTTTTTATAATTATATCATTAATCGAGTGTATCGGTCGTTTTTCAGTGTTGATGAATGATGCTACTATGAAGATTTGATGATGAAGGCTGCTATGAAGATTTGATGATGTGAAGGCGATGTGTACTTATGAAGTGGTGTAATCCGTGTAGGCGACTCACTTTTTGGGACTAAATTGTGTAGTTGCTTAGAATGCAAAATTTAACAACAATATAGACTTGAATTTGAATTGAATATTCTACTTTAAGCATTGAATTTATAGTTTGAGATTTATTGATTTTGTTATTGTTTATGGGTTCGCTGAATATTGAATTGAAATTTCTAAAATATAATTGATTTGGAATTTCAAAATTATAATTGTTTTTGAATGCTGAAACAATACAAAACAAAGTGATACCAAAGCGTCACTAAATTATCATTTTGCTTGGATGGAAAATAGAATTATGTGATACCACAGTGTCATTAACATATGTGATGTAAAAGTGTCGCTGAATGGTTGTGTCGCATATGTATCACTATTTGGTGATACTATAGTGTTATAATTTAGTGACACTTTTAGTGACACTTTTTTAGTGTCACTAGCCCCCACCTTCAGCGACACTTTTTTAGTGTCACAGAAGCCTATTAGTGACACTAATTTGGTGTCACTGTAAGACTTTTTTAGTGTCACTAGCCCCCACCTTCAGTATTGTGTATTGTTCTTCATGGATTCATCATTATTAATACACGGTATAAGGTATTGTTGCATTTCTCTTATACAGTTTAAATTATTCCTATTATTCATAGATTATTCGACTGTTGAATCTGAGCTACATTCACACATGTTATCTTATCTTGATCCACTAATAGATGATATCTGACTTTTGTTGAAAACAAAGATAAAATGTATATGTGAATCATGTTACCCATACTAACTAGGCAAGGTGTGCTTCTCTCCACTCTTCACATTGTATTGTAAGCCAAACAATATGCTTGTTTAATGAAATGAATCGGTTTACAAAAAATATATTCGAGTAATAATTTTGTAAATTAGAGTAGTGGGTACTAATGTGCAAGGGGATAACAAAAAAAACTAAAAACCCGAAATCAATCGACAAACAGAACGAACCGAAACAGACCAAAATTGAACCAATAAAACCGAAACCAACTGAAAGCGATTATTCCATCGATTATTCGGTTTATACTTTTGGGTTAAGAAGCCAGTTAACCAAAATTTGTCGACAAAACTCGACCAAAATGGCTAAAATCGACCGAAACGGGCACAAATCGACCAATATCGACTCAAACTTTGTGGTCAAATTCTCGATTTCACTTATTCTAAAAACACTAATAACTCAAAGCGATCAAACTTCATTGACTAAAAACCCCGAGCAAAACCGACCAACTAAAAGCCAATGCTAATGATATGGATACAAAAACACCTAAATATGTACTACGTAGTAAGGAGTAGCATTTACTCGATATATCTTATAATAAATCCGATTTTTTAAAAAAATCATAGAATAATAATAAAAAATTATAAAATATTTATAAAATAAAAAATTAATTTTTTATTTTTTATTTTTTTAAAAATTAATAAAAAATAGTAAAACTCCATAAAAAAATTTAAAAAAAACATCCTAAAAGCATATTACTCTTTGAGAATACCAAAATTTTCATTGAATCTGCCATAAATGTGACATTCCTAATGCATGTGCAATCCCCCCAGTTACCGAAGATGGTGGTGCTGGGACGGTAGAGGTGTTTTTTAGCGTTTTTTAGGTTTTTAAAAAAATTATTTTTTTTAATTTTTTAATTTTTTAAATTAGATGCCTTTCCCACCACTTGTAATGCCTCCATGCACCACCACCTCCGACCGATGTAAAAATGGCATTTTTTTTCTAAAAACTGCCATTTCTTTCTGAAAATGACAAGAAAATGACATATTACTATTTGAGAATGCCAAAATTTCCCTTGATTCTGCCATAAATATGGCATTCGTAATAGACGTGGCATTTTTTTCCGCTAGTGACTGGAGGTGGTGGTGCTGGGACGGTAGAGGCGTCGATGATTTTTTATGCGTTTTTTATTTTTAGAAAAAATTTAAATTTTTTATTTTTTTATTTTATTTAAATTTTAATTAATTTTTTAGTATTTCTTTACAAATTTTTATTATTTTTTATGAATTAAAATATTTCAATAGACACAAAGATATATTTGTCCATACACATAATTTACTTTTTTATCTTGTTTGTGCAAAGTGAGAAAGTTTTAGTCCAATTTTGATAATTAACTCTATATCTTACTCCCTCCATCCCAATTTGATTTGCAAAATTTCCTTTTTTGGTTGTCGAAAATGGATTTCCACTTTCTATTTTAGGTATGTAAATAAGAATAAAGTGACAAATTGACCATTACTTTTACTTTTTCACCATTAACTTAAAGGCATCTACTTTTAGAAAGATGGACAAAAGTGTAAAAAGCAAGCATCATTTATTGTTATTTCTTAATCCTTGTGCCGGTCAAAGTTTCCAATTCAATTCGGGATGGAGGGAGTAATTCCGAAGGGCAAATCAGTCCAAGGGATATTTATAGGGCAGAGCATGGGTCGGGTTCGGGCGGGTCGGGTTCAAAAATGATAAACCTGTTCGGGTATCGGATTGATAATTCCAAACCCTACCTTATCAAAAAATTTATCGGTTTTTTTCGTGTTGAAGAAATTCGGGTTGCGGTTAGGTTGATTCGGGTTTCGGGTCCATTCGGATTTTAATTTATTATTTTTGAAATTGTGATAAATAAAATGGTAATTGGTAAAAATATCATTCAAAAATCGGATCGGGTTTGGGTATTTCGGGTCGGATTTTCCTATCCAACAAAAAAATCTGATACGGAGTATATCAGATGTGGTCAATCGGGTAAGGTCCTGATTGCTCTCTCCCCTACATATTTATGAGCAGTCGTATTCGTCAAATCGCCCCAGCCTAAGCCCTAGAGACTTTTTTCTGCAGCTGTAATATTTTCTGCTCGTTACTCCCTTCTACGCTTGCGTCTTTGAATCGTCGCCCAAGCATCACAGTATGGGGAGAGAGATTGTTGGACAGCAGCAGCCTTCAACGCTGTCTTACACGGTGGAGCAGCTCCTCATCGTCAATCCTTACAATCCCGACATTCTTCCTGACCTCGAGAACTACGTCAATGAACAGGTCGGAATTAATATTGCGTGCCGAATCTGTTTCTTATCTCTGTCCATAACTCTTAAATTTAAAAAATGAATCTTTTAGTTTTTTTTGTTATACCTTGTACAGATTTATGGGTGCCCTTACTTATGTTTTTTTTGTCGAGCTGAAGAAGTTTCTTGTTTGATATGGACGTTAGGTTTCTTCAAAGACTTACAATTTGGATGCGAATCTTTGCCTTTTGCGCCTTTATCAGGTCTGGTTTGGCTTCTTAGTATTCTCTTGTGGACATGTAGCGGTTTAATTTGATTTCAGAACCTACATAATTATTATAAATATTTATATTTTATTTGTGTACTGGTGATTGTAGTTTGAGCCTGAGAGAATGAGTACACAAATCGTTGCTCGCATTTTGGTCAAGGTATATCTCAGATACTTATTACATTTCATATAGAAAAGCCTTAAATGATATTGAATCTTTGTATTGGGACAGTTGACATTGGTTGATTGGTATTTTTAAATTAAAAACATTGTTCTTGTTTATATGAGGCAGGCCCTCATGGCAATGCCAGCTCCAGATTTCAGCCTTTGTCTTTTCTTAATCCCAGAACGAGTGGTATGTATACAATTTTTACTTTGTGTTGCTATTTACTCCATTTTCCATCATTTGCAATGGAGCCAAAAGATTCATTATTTTTTGGCTTGAGATTATGATGGAATAAAGCAAAATGGCGCACTAAATTGTCTGCGCTTCTTTGTTATGGAGCATCAGTCAGTCCATGCAATTTTGGACGCGATTTTCACTATGGATCATTCGGAAACAGTCTCTCTGTGCTTTAGTACAAGGGTAAGACTGTGTACATCTGACCCCCCTTACCCCACCGTAGGTGGGAGCCTTTGCGGCACTGGGGTAAATGAAAATGAAATGAAATGAAATGTTGCTATTTACTCCATATCTAAAAGTAATGCTTACAAGTGCGTTTTATGGAGCTTGATGCTTTACAAGTAGGCAAACCCAATATCTTTTTGTTTTCAGAATAAAATCTTAATCCTTTTCTTTTTATTTTACCACCTTAAGTTCAATAGTTGTTCAAGATCAACTTCTTTTTTAATTCTTTTGGTGAAATTTGAATTTATTTGAATTTATAAAGCAGTTTTTTAGGGACGGTTACATAGTTCCCACGTTGGCTCCATATGTCAATTTGTCAAGTAACTCATCTAATTTTGGTTAACATGCATGTAAGATTGTTAAATGTCCAAGTAGAAGGCAGGAATCCTCAAGCTTTACCCTTCAGATTTTGATTTAAGCAAGTCGTGATGTTATTTGATTCCTGGTTTAAGCTGCATTTTATGTCAATAGCTGAACTATGGTTTTTTCAATGCACAGCAAATGGAAGAACAATTCAAGACGCTGATTGTTCTCTCACACTACTTAGAGGTATGTTAAAGCTAAACAGAATAATCCATAGATGCTCTAAGTTTGGATGGAGAGATAATCACGTTGCTATTATTCAATCTTTGTATGCAGACATCAAGATTCCACCAATTTTGGGATGAGGCATCTAAGAGCCGTCATATTCTAGATGTTGTTCCTGGTATGTGAGTTTTACTTTTACTTAAAACCCCTTTCAATTGGTAACCTATATATCCTGTGATGTCACCTCAAACAATGACTTAGGAGGAATACAACTTCGGGCTTGCTGGTTCCACTTAATTTGCATAGATAGTTCAGTTTTTTCTTCTGGTGGATTGAGTAAGATGTTTTTGCAGGTTTTGAACAAGCAATCCAAATGTATGCGATTCACGTTCTTTCACTGAGTTACCAAAAGGTCCCACGGACTGTTCTTGCAGAGGTATGACTTTCTTTATCAGCAAGTACTTAATTTGATTTTATTATTTGTGGCCTTAACGGAGTCCTGACCGTGAACTTACAACTAGCATAACATTCAACTAGTCCAAAAAGCATTTTCCCCATAGTGCTGCTTTCAGGATTTCAGCATTATAGGAGTGCACTAAAAGTATTTGCTTTCATTTTTACCAACTTCATAGTCTGTTTTACTAGGTTCTTGCCCCAGCTTGAGCTATCGTATTTTTTCCGTGATCTTAAAGATGTCAGGGGGTGTGGAGGGAAGGAAAGGCGGGAAGAGAGGGAAGGGATTATTTTTCATTTTTGTGAAAGTGTTACCTTAACTTGTTATTTAAAAAAATGATGTTCTAGTAATTCATTTATTACTCCTAAACAAACCCTAAGTTCTCTCAGTCTCTCTCTTCCTCCAAACTACCCATATACACTACAACTGCTTCACTTTACTTCAGTTCTGTATGTTCCTTTGGAGCTCTTCAAGCATGCCCTGCTTAACTAACATCCTTTGTTGTTAAAGTAATGTTATTTTTTTATGTCAGGCCATCAATATGGAAGGCCCATCTCTGGATAAGTTCCTTGAACACCAAGTGTCCAAAAATGGATGGGTCATAGAGAAAGATCAGAGCAGGAGCCAACTCATCACCCTCCCCAAAAACGAGTTCAACTGTCCATCACTAAAGAAAATCACAACCGAAGCTGTCCCATTGGAACATGTTACACGCATCTTCCCCATACTTGCCTGATTTATTAGAGTGAATTCTCCACTAAAATCAGCTATTTATTTAGTGAGAGAGATCAGACAAACATGACCGGCAGCAACAGTTGTGCAAATCGGCTATTTCTACAACTGCTTGCTTTTTCTTTTGAGCCGTGGTTGTCATTGCACTTTCTTTTAACACATGCTACAACATGAAATGTTAAGAACCTTGTGTCTTGTATGTGTACTCTGCCCAACACATGAATTTTCATTATTCTTTGAACTCGCGCTGATTGCTATAGTTTTACGGTTTTACCTGGTTGTGGTTTCTGATTGAACCCAGCCTGGTAAACTACTGGCCTGTTTCTTTAGGATTGGAACTAGAACTGGTCTAATCCAGTATATCATGTGTAGCCCATTAATATGTTTTAATATTTATCCATATCCTCAATCTTATTTTTAATATTAGAAAGTTAAAAACAGGATTGAACCGGAACTGGACCTGTTACTTACTGTTACAGACGGTGGATTCTTGGATCAAAACCAGGCCTACCCCCACTGATCACTGAACTGGCAGTACAACGGACCAGGTCTACCCATACTGATCACCGAAACTGGCGGTACAAACTACAAATGGACCAGGTGTAACCATACTGGCACTACGACTAGATTGATAACATATTAGGGGTGCACGTTGCCATGAATAACAACTTAACAAGCCCTTTTATACAATTATACTTGGAAATCGTGTTCCCATGTCCAAAATCTTGCTCTTGAACAGTATAGGTGTCTGGACAGTTACCTGGAATCCTGGATGTACATTTTGTTGCATACATGATGTGTAATTAGGGGTGGACCTGGCTCATGGCTTCGGATCGGCCGGATCATGGAACTGGACCTTACCTCTTTTCGGTTTCGGCGCTGGTTCAGGTTAGGGGTGGATTCGGGCCGGTCCGGGTCAGGCCCGGGCCGGGCCTAGGCCTGGTCGGGCCGCCGGTTCGTATCATATGGGCCCGGGACCGGCCCGAGGGTTGGACGGGTCCGGTTCGGGCCGGGCCACCTGCCCGGGTCACGGGTCGGGCCACCTGCCGGGCCGGGCTGGGTCGGTTAAATATTTTTTTTCGTTTTTATAATTTATATTTTATACTTTATAGTTTTATGCAAGTATTAAAAAACAAACTTCAAGTGCATTTATTTGAAATGAAATAGGAACTACATTTGAAAATTAAATAGGAACTATAATTGTTTTTAAAACATGAAATACTAATCAATAATTCAATATTTCAATCGGAATCTCCGGCATAGGTAGAGCCATCCTCGGTTGTAGATTCATCCATAAAGTGTTGGGATGGGGTAATGTCAATTTCTTGAGCTCTACGGGCTGCTTTCAACCAATCGTGGTAGCATATAAGCATCTCAAGAGATTCAACGCTCAACCTCGTTCTGGTTTGTGTTAAGACATTGCCGGTCGAACTAAATTCTTGTTCCACGGCAACCGTTGAAACCGGCATTGATAGCACTTGCTTAGCCATCTTTGCAAAAACCGGGAACATTCTTTCTTTTCCCTTCCACCAGTTTAGTACGTCAAAATCATCATCTTCTTCAAAATCAACATCATAAGTTAAATACAAAGAAATCTCATTAATTGTGCTTTGTTGTGTAGCGGGAGTTGATTTCGTTTTTTTTAATAAGATTGGCAAACGTAGATTTGAAAATTGATTTTCCTTTAGATGATGTTTGTAGCGGGAGTTGATTTCATTTTTTTAATAAGATTGACAAACGTAGATTTGAAAATAAGATTGTTTGCAAATTAACTAGTAATTAACTACTTTTGTGTACAACATATTTTTTTAAACTAGAGTCAAATGACTCAAATGTAGCAATTAATAAAAAACTGTAAAAAAGTAATTAACTATTAATCTAACTATTAATTCGAGTTATAGCAAATTAACTAGTTTTGTGTACAACATATTTTTTTTACTAACAATGAAATTAATACACTTTAACTATAATTAGAATTACAACTAGTTGTTTAAACTAGAGTCAAATGTAGCAACTAGCAATTAATAAAAAATTGTAATAAAGTAATTAACTATTAATCTAACTATTAATTCGAGTTATAGCAAATTGTACAACCTAATTAACTAGTTTTTTTTCAAGTAACGTTAATACAAAATTAAACAAGTGTAAATAATAGAATAATTTCGTACCTCTTTCGGACTTTCGATCTTTCGGATGGGAGTGATAGAGTGACTTCAAATTAATTAGATATAATTCCAACTATATTAATAGATATAATAAATATATAAGTAATATATAATTAGATAACAAATATAAGTAATATAATACTATTTATATCTATTTATAGTTTATATAAGTAGATAATTAATATAAACTATAAATAATAAATATAATATATTGGAGAATGGAGAATAAGAGAATTAGAGAGTAGAGAGTTAAGAATAGGATTTAGGAAGAATTGGAGAAGAGATGAAAAAATGTTTAAGATTAGGAGTATTTATAGGTTGTTTTACCCCCCACCACCACCACCCACCACCCAACCCCCCCGGACCCCCCTGCACCCCACCCATAACGGCTAGTAAGTATTTAACAACTTTTTTAAAAAAAAATAGGACCGTTGGACCCGGACCCGGGCCCGGGCCCGACCCGGCCGGACCGGGTCACATTTTTCCGGAACCGTGCCCGCCCCGCCCATTCCCACCGGTTCGGGTCTACACCCGGTCCCGGACCGCCCGACCGGGCCGGTCCCGGGCCCGTACAGTACCGGGTCGGGCCGGGTCACGGGCCGGGTGGCCCGAACCGAAAACACCCCTAGTTCAGGTTATGATATTTAAGGACTGGAATTGTCCGGTCTGGTCCCTTGTCTTTTTTATTCATTTCAAGCATTATAATCATTTAAAATGAGGAGTATATCCATTTAAAAGTTCAAAAACGCTAGGGAGGGGCTAGGAGTAGGGATGGACCCACTGTTTGGAACCACGGGTCCGCTAACCGGATGTCCGGATCCATTTAATCTTCATTTTCTCCAATTCATTCTACATATATTTATACAATTATTATATCTACTTATATACTTCCTCTGTTCTTTTTTAGTTGCAACATTCCCTTTTTCACGCTTTCCAATGCACAACTTTGATCGTCATTATATTTAATTCTCTATTAGTAAAAAACTTTTAAAAATAAGATTATGAAACTTTGTAATGAGACGAATTCAATAGTATTTTTCAAAAATAATAATTCACATACATTAATAAATAAAGTAGTCAAAATAGAGTACATGAATAATGTGTAAATTCCAATGTTGCAACTATTATGATATGGAGGATAGTATTAATTATCTACTTATAAATACATATATTATATTACTAAAATTTATTATCTACTTAATATATACTTATTATCTACTTATTATATTATTTTTATTTACTTATATTTACATATTACATCTACTTAATATATACTTATATATATTAAAGTATTAAATATGTGTATTACTCATCTTATAGTTATATACTTATATATATTATATACTATAAACATTACTCCCTCCTGTCCCAAATGAAATTCACACTTTGACTTCATACAAATTAAGAAAATAAATTTGACTTTACTGTAGAATACATTGTTGTGACACTGTTTGACACTGTTTGGTACTATTTGACATTGTTTTGCACTATTTTGCACTGTTTTGATGTAGATAATTTGCCAAATAAGTAAGAGAGAAGAAGTGTGAAGTTTATTTTGGACCTACCCAAAAAGGAAAGTGTGAATTTCATTTGAGACCGGAGGGAGTATATTATATACAGAGTATTAGTTAAACAATTATTATTTTCTACTTATAAATACATATATTAAGTATATAGAACTAGATTGAACGCAAACTGTCTTGAGACACTTGTTTGCTTCCACAATTTGTTGAAACCCCAACGTAGAACTCAAGAAGTGAGCATCACCCCCATCAATCACCTTATGGAGGAAACAACCGAAGATGGCGGAGATTTCGATTGATTATTATTTATTAGAAAATGCATTTCATGTTTTAAATTTTTCTCAATTTTCAATTGTACTACATATTTCAAATAGAAAATGCATTTCATGTTTGAATTAATTTGTAAACAACATAAAAAAAATAGCCCGGACCCGACCTGACCCGGTAGCTACCCGGGCCGGTTCCGGGTCTCAACAAAACAAAAAATGCCCGCTCGGCCCCGACCCGACCCGAGCCCATCCCTAGCTAGGAGGTTTAAAACATACTTGGTATAAAAACCCCAAAAAAACAAGACTAGGACCGGCACAGGTTGTGGGGACTGGAACCGGAATGACCGGCACTGGTCCTAGGACCAGCCGGTCTGGGACTGATCCATGTGTATGTATAGTCGTGTTTGGCATCTCTACATGTCTCGAAATGTGGAATCAACCAAAAATTTAAGTACCATGTGCGGCTTGTCTGAGACGATCTGGACTTGCCAATCCTTGGATGGCCAGCGAGACACTGGGGAGACCGTGATGATGGTGGGTGTAGAAAGTCGGATGAAAAATATTTGCGCTTCAAATCCCAGGTTTCTCACTTGCCTCGGCAAGTCTGTGGAACAGTTGAATAAAACATTTTCACAACTACTTGAAATTTTGGATCATTAGGGTACCGGAGTGAGCAATCACACAATGAATGGTCAATGGCATACTGATAAGACACGCGAGATATATCAACTGTTATTATATGCAAAATCGATCAACACAAAGTGTTAGTCCAAAATACATTAAAACTCCATCATCCGATGTCCTAAATATGTCAAGGCACTTTTATCACTTACACAAACATGTAGTAGACGCTGTTGAATCAATCGACATGGAAAAGAATATACATAAAGTAGACCTCTCAGTCTCTCTCACAAGTCCTGTCAAAAACACGTGTACATATTCATTTACAACAATAGTGGAGCGGGTAGGTACGTGAGGGGTGGAGGTACATGATCCTGAAGAAAAGAAAAGAAACGAAAAGATGAGGAAAGCAGCAGCAGCAGCACTTGCCCTCCTAAAAGAATAATTCTTATGATTATTTGGCACTGTCAGTATTCAGTATATCACTTGACAAGGTTCATCCTCTCAATGTGTCTTGGTTGAGTGACTTGAGATGCACATTTAGAACCACATATTAATTAATCAATGACAGAGTGTCTCCCCGTACGTAACCCAACCCACAAAACTGTCTGAAAATTCTTCAAGAACTTTGTATATATGGGCATCTTTGTAAGCAACTTCTTCTACTCCAACCACATCACACCTCTTTCCCTACAAATACACATTCAGCTCTCTTTGTGAAGGGTCTAAGGGAAAAGGGAAGATAAAACATGAAGACATGCAAACACCATAAACTGAACAGCAGAACTTCCAAACAAACAACAAGAAACACAAGTTCCAGCACAAAAAAAGGACTTGGAAATTAAAATAAAAAAGAACATTGGACAATGCTTTAGGACTGCATATCTCATCCAGTAATGCCGTTAGACAAAGATCAGTTTAAGCTATTGATCAAAAGCATAAAACAATTTCCCCTTGAAGATATAAATGATGTGGAGACCATGTGCACCTTAGTTTTGTTTTGTTTTTCTGGCAGAAATAACATTTCACGTAATTCAAATGACCATCACCCTTTTCTCTAATATATTGTTTCATAGCGTTGAGAAAATGAGCTCAGATTAAGAATCTTGCAGTAAATTTGCACCGAAGATGCACCGTTACAAAGGAGTTTGAAGCACAAGTTCACTAATAAAGATGTGATGAGTCACTGTACAGATTAAATAGCAGACTGGATAACTGACCTTCGTACTAGATTCACCCTCACTGGTAGTTTCTACCAACATTCCACTGACAACATTATCTGATGATGTACCCGCGGTTGGAGAGATTGTGTACATTGATCTGCGACCATGCAAAAATTAATGAATTTCTGTTTCGGTCAGTGCATGTTTGAAAACCTTATATTTCTATTTACCAACCTAGCTTCTCTGCTAGTTTTTTACTAAACATCAATTTAGTTGACCATGCAAGTTTAATTGGTTGATGATGAGAAAATCTTGTCCAGAAGCCACTTTTTAGTCTTTATTTTGTTAAGAATACATAATAATTATTTTGTGGTACTACATCAACCACTTGAAAGGGAGCCTTGGCGCACCGGTTATGGTGTAGCTGTGTGACTGAGAGGTCATGAGTTCAAGTCTTGGGAGCGGCCTCTAGTCAAAATGACAAGCGAAGGCCTGCTTCTTATATACCCTTGTGGTAGGACCCTTCCATGGATTCTCGCCTTTCGGGGACATCAATGTGAAACGGGCTGCCCTTTCATTTATTAGATTAACCACTTCATTCAATTCAGTTATAGTTTTAGAAACTTTATAATTTAAGCAACTCCATCTATTTATGCCCCAAAAACCATCGCCTAAGGGGATAATGTCCAAGTCCAATCAAAATGAATAAAAGAAAAATTGTCGTGCAATAAACAGTTTTGAGAACGGTGCAGGATACTATGAAATAACTACCAGCAGTGAATGATATTCACGGCTTTTCCAATTCAGCCAGTTCCACAAACCACCACCGCACATCACCTCTTAATTATCTCAAGCCACCATGTCATTTATACAGTTAATGGTGATAGTTATAAATCAACTTGTAGAACTCAACCCCCAGTCATGAAGGGGTGTTTACTTCTCTTGCAGGTTGAAATTTGAAAATTAGTTAAGCTGAGCTTACTTCCTCCCATGTATAAATGCTGTCCAAATTTGTGATATTTGAAAGAACCTATAATGAACTAAACACTTGCTAAATAATTACCTTTCGAGTAACTCTTCGTCATAGGAATTCCCAGAAGAAGAAAGCCAATCTAGGTCAACAAAGTTTGAGCAATCAGATGCATCCCCATTTTCATGTTCAATGCTTCTATCTCCCTGCAGTTCTACAAAAAGCTCTTTTGCAGGCATAGATGGAGTACACCTGAGAAAGATTATAGAATGTGAAATGTAAATAAATACACTCAGCACAAACAGGAAAGAAAGGTGTAGGCAGACAATCTTAACCTTCCTAATAAGAACTTAAGTAATAAGTTGAATGATTATATGCTACTTGTATGTATGAAACCGGTAAAAGAAATCAGGATCGAAGTTATAATAAGGAGACTAATTTCACCTTAATGTAACAAGAAATAGCTAACATTAAACTGATGATCCTGTTAGGGACCCACATAGAATCATAAGAAATAAGAAGAGTATTAGAATTAGTATAAATAGAGGTGGAGGGTAGAATAGAAAGGAGGTTGGAATTATCATTTGGGCTTGGGACTCGGAGAGTTGGCACTCTTAAACTGCCTTTGTATTTCTCTCTCTATACTTTCTGTTATACGACATCTCTTTTCTTCATCTTTGATTCTTGAAATCTCTGTGAAATTAGCTAGTTACCTATCAGATCCCCCTAGCAAGATTTAGAAGGTTACAATAATACTCCCTCCGTCCCATTTTACCTGTCCTACTTTCCCTTTTGGGTTGTCCCAAAATAAGTGTCTCCTTTCTTTTTTTGGAAAGAAATATGTGGCCTACACCATTTCACTTTATTATACTCAAACCTCAACCACAACTTTTACTTTTTCAACCACTTTATTAATAATCGTGTCAAGTCAAAGTAAGACACATAAAATGGGACGGAGGTAGTAACATTTAAAATTGAAAAATTATAAAAGTAAAGGCTAGTTTAAGATTAAATTCCAAATAATAATGGCTACATAATTTAATCAAAGGGGTCTTGCATCTAATGCCAACTAATGCTTAACCTCATAAAAACAATCTAGATTCTAGGGTATATATTCCCTTAATGGTAGGATAGCAAAGAGTTCATAAATTATACTACCCCAAATTCTATGGGTTTCGCGTAATACTTCACACTCCATAATAATAAAAAGCCAAATTGTTTTAATGCTAAAGGACTGATGTAGAAGAAAACACAGCCGGCTTGTCGATTCATGAGCCTCTTTAGCTCACAAGGGAAAAGGATATACCAGTATCACAATCAGTCATACAAAGTGAATTACCTAGAATATGCCACATCACTTTTGCAACTTGAGATTTCTGGGGTTGATGGAGAGAGGACATTGCTTCCTTTCGATTGATCAGAAAAGTCAATGTTAGAAAAATCTCTTTCAAAGGTCCTGGTGGGTAAGGGTGATTGGATTTCATGAAGAATGTTCCCATCTGAGAATGATCTTTTGAAGATTGACCTGCATGAGAAAGCACAATCACGGGTACATCAATGCACAAAACACAAGCAAATAACCCCACATTAAGATTGAGAAAGAGATATCAGGGTTGAATTGTGCAAGGTGGGTAATAAAATGAGATCCATGATCTGGTTTAGTGATTTTCAGAATTTCAGGTGTTATATTTGTGTTGTGTCAGTGTCAAAACTAAAGCTTTTTTAAAATATATGGGCAGAAAGAACTCTACACTCCAGCCATCTTTTCGCTAGACAGGTCATCAAAGCAGAGTGGAGAAATCATTTCCATCAATATACCTTCCATTTTCATCAATATTGGACTCCACATTCCTACCCACATTGTAATGCTGGTCAGAATCCAGCTCCCAAATGTCAGGTTTTCCTTCTTGAGGCTGAAAGTGTCCCAAGAATCTGCTCAGAAATTCCATCACTAGTTAGTTAAATTCAAACAAAGGGAGCAAAATCAACCATGTAATATCAGATAAATCTCTTTAGAGCATTCGTAGTATTTCAGAAGGAAGGATAAGCATTTGGGTAACATATATAATGCTTTAAACATGTTTCCAGGTTTCCAATCCCCTTAAGTAGTCCAGTGAAAGAAATAGAATGATAGACAGCAATGATGGACTAACATATTAATAGCATTCTGTTTTTCTGCATCCATATATGCATTGTTGTAGTATCTCTGAAGAGTTCTCAAGAACTCCTGTGATTGTGTGGCAGCTTTCCACTGACCCCTTCTCTGTGAGAAAATCTGAAGAATTTAAAAATGCAAGGCATCAATAGCAGGTTTGGGGAGTGGGATCTGGTAATGAAATTAAGCAAATTCACATAATCGTCACAGATAAAATATGAGCTTATATATAAGTGCAACAATGCTCAATCCAAATGCACTTGACAAAACCGCTTAACTGCCTACTGTCTAACAGATGAGATTCGACATACAAATTGACTATTGGCTAACAATGCTATGTTTGGTTTGACAACCTTGTTATGAGCGGCAGAACCACCATATTGATGAGCAAGTGTATCACCCATTCTCTCATAGAATCCCATTAAATCCTCAGCCAAAGGATCATCGAGGTCAATATTTGTTGTAGTTGTAACTCCCAAGGCACAAAGCTGATGACCCAAAGCAGCCAAACCATATGCATATTGTGCAACATTAGTTCTGTCCAAACAATCTATGCAGTTTGTCCTGAGCACCCCCTTCTGTAGCATTAGAGGCTTAGTGGAAGGATTA